TATTTTAAAATAAACTTATTTTTGTCCTTTAGGCCTTTGAGTTTTTTTTTTTTTTTGCCATGCCTTTAAAAGCTGGCCACTTTCCACTTCTAAACATCTCAGGACCTCACAATAGAAGTCCCCCAAAGAGGCCTACATTTTTTACTTTAAATAAAACTCTAATAATAATATTAATTTTATTTCTGTAATGTTATCTCATTTACAAAAAGAAAAAAGAGAGAGAGACCGTGGCTCAAAAGATGATAAACGTGATAATGTCTTTTTCATTTGATATGTTTGCCCCCCATCAGCAGAGCATCATAAAGGATTTTACATGAAATAACAAAGATAGCCTAGATTTTCATACACTGAATGAGATAAACCGGTTGAGCTGTTGTTCACATACAATTTAATGAATTACCTCAACGTTTCACCTCTAAATCCAAGAGCTGCAAAGCCCAAATGTACTGTAGGCTGAATTAAGGGGTAAATGATAATCCCCCTCTACTTACATGGACATTCTTTTGACAAGCACTGTGGTTAAATACAGCCCCAATGTAATCTGTGACTCTATAGTGGTTCAGGTGAGATCGACAAATGCCAGTGTTAGTGTAATATCAGGGAGAGAAAAGATTTCCTGGGGGGAGTGCAGACTCGGGCTCAGTCCAGTTAAAGGATGGACATAATCCAGTGTCTGTTCTTTTCACTGATGAAATGCTATTAACCTTTGGCACAAAGTTAATTGCTTTTTTCAGCAGTGACCTGAACTCTGCACCAGAATTATTATTATTATTTTTTTTTGGAGTTCACGGGGTTATTTCTGATTTGTAACCTTCAGAGTTGGCACTCATTATTATAGTTCATTATAACAGTTCAGTGTCTGCTCTATGCTCTAAATAAAGGGTCTGATTTTCAGCTAGAATGACCTGAGATTTGGAAGAACCTTGACCATCAGTCTAATATTAGTATAACTGATGGTTGTGATATTACATTTTTAAACTAAATTTTGCCAGAATAATTCTGGATGGATGGAATTCTGCTCCCAAAAGTTTGTATTAGTAAAACAATAGCCACAAGCTATAAGATCCTACAGAAAGAAAACTGTACAAAGTCTAGTACAAAGTATTACTTAATCATTATTTAATCATTAAATGTGTAAAGCTGGGTTTTCTTTGCGACTTTTGACTTTGTTGATCTTTATTATTTTGGATAAAATGTTCCATAAAAAGCTTTGTAGGTGCTAATTAAAATGCTCTATGTTTAGAATGTGATGTGAAGCTCTTGAGCTTTAATCAAAGCAGAGGGTCAAGTCTGAAAATCACTTAATTTAAAATGGAGGAGACCATGAATAAACATCATGAAATTAGTAACTGACCTCTCTTTTTTAAACCAGACACCTTCTCCACAACATCCTCAGAAAATGACATTTGTGTTTAGTAGGGTTTTCTGCAACATGCATTTGGGGTCTGGGACTATGTGCATGCATGTCACGCATGTGCCTTGATCATGTACCTTCTATCTCAACAGATAGAAAACACATTTCTTAAATTTCCTGTTTGGCTTCATTTTCATTGAATGAATTGTTCTGCCACAGAAAGTTGATTCCTCGCTTAGCAGTGTGTTTGAAGTCTCATTTGAGCAAACATCAAGGAGTGCCTCTGCACTGTTTGCTTGGCGGTTGAGCGATATGCTGTACAGCTGAATTAGAGGTGGATTTGAGGAGTCTGCATGTCACCTGCAGGAAACTGTTCTCATCGTGGCATTGTAGAAGGAGGGGGATGAACCAAACAGGACAATAAACAGGGAGGAGTTGAAGTTAATAGGTAGTGAGTGGAAGGGAGTACAGGCCAAAATTAAACAAACAGCATACAGGACGAGGAGACATTTACACGCACAAGGTGTACATCAACTGTTATTTACATGTACAGCAGTCCTTCAAGTTTCCAGTTGAGTGAAAACAAAAAGTCAAAATGTAGAAGAAGAATTAAAAGAGCCAATAACACAGCCATCTTGGAGGGAAGATACAACAGAACATATCCACATGGTCGCTGTGTTACACTGTTCACTCTATTTACAGGACTGTACATACATACATACATACAGGTGCAATTTGCTTGTTAAGGTTTACACTTCAGCGAAGCAAGACCCGCCTCCAGCTTCTGACATGGCGTCTGACCATGCGCGACACACACATGCACACACTCTCACGCACATGCACACTTCACCATGTGAGACTGCACACGCATTCTTATAGCTGTACACACTGACGTCAAACGCATCCTTTCACGCACATGCAATTCTGTCTTCTGCTAACTGGCACAAGGGCTCTCCAGCTGGTTCACCCAGACATGTGTGCTTTACCAGTCTGCATCTTCTTCTATGTAATAATCAGGTGTTGAAGTACCATCAAACAAACCGGGGTCAAGGGACTTGCGCTGCTTTCCCCGGGCGAAGACACGCGATAGAGAGCCTAGCCCCATCTTCTCTTTCTTCTTCTTACGCTTCGCCTCCTCCAGATCTTCTAGGGACTGAAGGCAGAAATAGGGGCAGAGAGAGAGAGAGCAGAGGGAAGAAGATGAAGATGAGATGGGCAAAGGAACCGAGGTGCAAGAGCAGAGAAGTCAGTGAAGGGGTACAAAGTGGACGAACACAAAGGGGAAGTGACACTTGACATGCTACCGGCCATGCACTTATTCAACACAACTGGCCTTCACAGGAATTCACAGCTGCAGAGTGACTACACAACAGACTGTGTGTGTGTGGGTGTGTGAATTCAGCCAGAACAATGGTGAAGAGAAACAGCAGTGGCCAGACAGCAGGACAGACAGCAGGTGCTACAAATGAGGTGATTATCTGAAAGGGTGCGGTGTTGGGCAGCTCTTACATTGCAGAGGGAGTGAGTCCGATGACGTGGCGAATTGATATCACTGGGTGTGGATGACCGGTCTCCCTCCAGAACCGAGGCGTCGGAGATGATGGAGGGCTGACGTGAGTGGCACGGGCTCTCCCGCATGGCAGCCACTAAACGGAACAATAGGGAAAAGAGAAAAGTTCTGTTTTCTTTTTTGGGTGTTTTGAGCATCAAAAGCACCCTTAAATAAAAAATATATTTTCGAATGTCTCCAACCAAAAGCCTGAAATTATTTGCAATCATCTGCAGTTGCTAAGCAACAGTGAAAACAGCTTCACAGGGGTTGAATGTGTGTGGGTAGAATGACAACCAATTGCATAGCAGTTTGGAGATCCGTGACTGTTCACACACTTTCCCTATTTTTTTGTCTTTGTTTGTGTCTTTCTCCTGATGTCCCCTATTAGTCAGTGGCCTGTTTGAACCCATGGCTGCCCTTTAAAAAAAGCTCTGGGTAGAATGAGATGGACTCCTGCCCTGGTGGCTGCAAGGCTAGTGTGTAGAGAACTGGGCAGGTGCCAATAATGTAGCTTTGAATTAATGTTTATTTATTTAAGCTATTTTTAGGATAGGTTTAGCCCAAACTTTTGAGGATGACTAGTTGGATAACCCTTAAAAATTTAAATGCATATTCTGAAGGGACAGATTAAGTAATTGCAAAGCCCTCAGAATGCAGTTATTGTCTAATGATAACACTTAATATTTAATGATAATGTTGACAAATCTTTTGTTCTTAGCATTTTATTTGACCTAACTGACTAGCAAACCTCACATAGACATTTGCAGCTGAATCACAAACTGTTTAACAGTGCCTGGAATACGCTTTGACTCTGAAAACAACCCCTCTTTTTATGTCAGGATGGGATGGTTTTATTTTTATTAGGTTTTATTAAGAAGCAAAGCTGAGCTACACAAGGAAATTCCAAATGTTAACACTGTTTCTTTTGAATTTTGAAAAGGGAATTAGTGACAGCCCTCCAAGTAAGGAGAAAAAAAGCTTAAGAATCAAGAAAATAAATGTGAAAAAAGTTTCCCTTAGAAAGATTCAAGTTCCTGCGACACAGAGACAAAATACATGGTGTTAAATTATATGTAACCAGAAAGAAACATTACTTAACAAGTCAGCAACTAATCCTCAGCCTCCACCATTCTCACATACAGGAAAAAACACTTCTGTGCAGCAAAGACTAATGGAAGCTGTAAAGCCAAAAATATGTTCACTATAACTGCCACATAAAGCGCATGAAATGTCACAACCGGAGCACTGTCAGCAATCAATAGTGGTCATACTGAGCATATGCCGGGGTTGAATGTGTGTAAAGCAGGTTCACATGAGCATGCAGATGGTAAACGATGGTATACCCACTTGGTGTGAGTCACTTTATGTACAGAATGAGGGTGTTACATTGAGTGTGCTCATACTGGCCTACCTTGCCTGTCAGTAGGATGCCCCATGTGGACGTAAAGGGTCTGCTGACTCTGTCTGATGGCAGCAGTCAGAGGAAGGTCAGCCTGCATCACCCACTCTTGGTTGTTGCCGTTGACAACTGTCTCTGTGGGCATGGCCAAAGAGTGGCGCTTGGGCACGTCCTTGGTCAGGGTGGCTAGCGACTGTTTGGCCTTAAGAATGTAGACAGATGTAATAAGTCAGAGTGCAAAACCACAACAAGTAGCAATCCTGGACTGGGTTGTTTTGGAGGACGTTGGCGTATTTCTTTCATTTATATTGTTGTTTGTACTTGTGCATATGTTGTCTGCGTGCACACGTGTACACTACCAGTCAAACGTTTGTACACACTTTCCCATTTAATTCAGTAGGAAAGTGTGCCCAAAATTTTGACTGGTGCTACGCATGCTGAGTTATGTACTACAAGTTTCAGGGTGCACACAGATACAGTATGTGAATTCCCCCTGGGCTCCTCATGTGGTTGCCGTCTCATAAAAAATGCAGCTGTATTCATATTTGTCTTTTGCTGAAATCTCCTCCTGCAGCTCCTGAGAGCACAGAGCAAAGAAAAAAAGGGCAGAATATCTGGAGGATGTTGGCTGCTTTCATTCTTTTGGGGTTGGAAGTTGGAGGTTTGTGGGGTGTAAAAATGAAGAAACCGGAAATAATGAAGCTTTTCTTTAAGTTACATGAATGCTTTGCTCACTGGAGCCTTGTCACAAAGCACCATTCTCCTCCTTTTAGCAGGAACAATGATGAGATGCTAGAGCCATGGGAGATGTGCCTGTGCATCTGTGAAAACTATTATATTTTGTTATGCATGTTTCGTGATTAGCCTCAACATGTTGGTGTTTTACAGGTGCTTGAAATCTTGTTATTGGGCAAACCTTATCATCATGCTAAGCGACAGCAGGCTGCGAATCAACACTGGCACAATCAGCTTCAGTGCAATCATCTCTACCTACCAGAGGTCAAATGATTATCAGTCATAGTGTTTGACATGCAAAACAAAATGCGATCACAAAGCTCTGGAGTAATCATTAGCTGTCAGAATAGTGATTTATTTCTCCAGGTATTTCTCTGAGTTTCTTTCAGTTAGAGCTGAAACACATTCAGATTACTCACAGCAAGAATCCATGGGATCACTAATGTTAGGATCACTGGGATCATTTGGCGGGGGTTTGGTCAAGGGTTAGTCAAAAACGTGCAGCTGAGGATGAGCTTTCCAAACTGGCATTTACAGCACAAATAGGAGAGTTTTCCAGGGAAGGACAAGAAAGGTCAGATTTTAAAGCTGTAGGGCCCTTCTTACCGCCATGACCCTAGGAGAGTAGTCCCTGTCCACAAGTCGCTCAAGGACCCGGAACTCCGTTCTCTGATTGACACAGTTACTCATCTGAGGGGGTTGGAGACATGAGGGATGGCTATACTGTACATTCAAAGGCTTTCTGTGTTTGATAATATGCAGTATACCCAAAGTAGTGCATAATAAAGGAGATGCCCTGTACGCCCACAAAACAACAATGTAACAGGATGTGTTCTCTCTCAACTGGGTCTGCTATGGTTTGTTGTAAATTTCTTCTTTTCCCTGTTCTTGTCAGTTGATCTGTTATTGTGATGGATATTTTTCTGAGCCCCAGTAACTGTACTGGTTCAGTTTGATATGCATTTAGCATTCTTTCTATTGTTTATGATTTTTATTTTATTGGCAAGTAGAATTTACATATAAGATATATTGACTTCCACAAAGCCAAGGAAATAGATAAAAATATTAAAGAGGGGCTATCTCTCCACCTGCCTATCTATCTGTCTAGTTAACTCTGCTTGTCTTTCTTTCTCACCATGGCCAGTTCAGCCTCCAGCTCCTTAATGCGGTTCTCCTTTAGGTCCAGCTGCGACCGCAGCATCCCCGTGTGCTCTGTGGCTTCCTTGGTCTGTCGCCGCAGGTCCCACTTCTCTCTCTCCAGCAGATCCTTCTCCTTGGCCAGTGCCTTCACTGCATCCTCGCTCTCCTGGTAGACACAGAGATCCTGATGGATTGATTCACGCATAAAGCATAACTTTAAAAAAAGAAACAGAATGAGTCAAACCTGCAAAAATAATAGCAATTAACCAAATTTCAAACCAGACAGTGTAATATTTTTCCCTGAGAAGAAGTAAAGTCATAAACAGGTACAGCAACCTTCCTAAAGCTGCTGTATAGACAATATCACAGATACTGCTTTTGCTGTCTGTGCTTAGAAATGACTCTAGTGGAAAAACTAGTTCAACAAAGCCTCCAGGTTATTCGGATATGTTGTTGCTTGGACATAGACTATAGCTGCCTAAAATGTCTTATTGTCTTATATGCATCTAACCAACACAGCTGCAAAAAAACAAAACAAAACAAAAATCTGTTTGTATGGATGTTTTTGTGCATGCTGTTCTGTCTCTATACAGTCAGAGCATGGGTGCCATACTTTTCTGTGCTGCTCGTAGTTGCGAATGAAGTCGCGGAGCTGCTCCTCTCGGCTCTCCAGTGTGGCATAAAGCTGTTGCATCTGGTTCACCAGGTCTGCTTTCTCTGCCTTTAGACGCTTACGGTCTGACTTCATAGCTGCAAGAAAGGATGACAGCAAGAGAGGCAGAGGGGTTGTTAGCTAGCATCGAAGCCCAGGATCAGTACATTAAATGTGTTGTGTGTGGAAAAGCATGCATTTACATAGAAAGGAGAACATAGGGATGCCTTAAATAACTGGTTGCCATAAAAAGGTAACCTTGTGTGTTGAACAGAGTTGTTTATATCATAACTGAGACAAAGACAACATGCATGTGAAAATTCTTGATCACTGCTACGGACTGAGATGCTTTTCAATGTGTGGCAGGACCAACACTGTGATCTTCAGCTCGTAATTCAATAACAAACCTTAGGTAGATAAAGACATAAATATCCCTTTTCACAGCAAAAAAGGACTTTTAGAGACAGTTAACACAGCAATGGAACTTTAAACAAGTGATACTGAAAAAGGTTAAAGTATTACAAAATCAGCAACTGACACGGAACTTGGCAGCAATAGGGCAGCATGACAGGGCATGACTAACAAGTTCACATGATGTAAAGAACCCAAGGATTAATGGGCTTTGGTCTGACTTATATCTTGCTGATGGTGGTGATTTGATTAAAAAAAATTATTATGCAAAGGAAAGGATATAATCTGAATCTTGAAGTCAAGTTCTCAAGCCCTGAACCCTCAAAGACTTAACTGACATTACCTGAAAGTGATTGAGTGCAAGAGCCTACAAGGGCTAGAAACTGTATAAATAGGAATGGGACAGCCCTTTGTCACTTATCACACCACCATGACAATGCCAAAATGACGCTGTGTTTCTAACCATTGCGGTTTTAGGGCTTTTTATACAATGCTTTCTACTTTCCTCGTGGCCAAAACATTTAAGAGACAGATAGCCTGGTTTGAATGCAATCCAAGCTCTTGCTTTACAGAGTGGATGAGCAGTCACTGTCAGTTACCTAATCAATTTAATAACCTTTTGTCAAAACTGCATTGTTAAGTAAAACAGACAAGCAAACAAACAAATAAATAGATGATGAATGAAATAGCTGAGAGAGCCCTATTACACTTGACAGTTTCACAGTGGGACAGCTCTGAGCCCTCACTAACTTAAGATCATGTGCTGAACAACTGTGCATATTTATTTCCTTCCTTCCTTCCTTTGCACATTTACAGGCATTGTACTGGTCTGCTAACATGCTGTGAGGTGATCTAAGAACACTATTCAATTCAATTAAACTTTATTTACCAAGCATAAAAATATGCAAGGAATTTGTCTTGGTGTATGAATCCAGATTGGAGTAGTACACAATATGTTGGACACATTATACACAGTCTTCCTGAATGAAATTACAAAGTTAGAATGTTTTGTCCACAAGTCCAGAGCATATTCTTCATGCATAATAAGTAGGTTATTAAGCACTTCTAGATATGAAGCCTTTTAAGTACAAACATTACATACACGTGCTTTTGCTGCTCTAATGTGGCATGACTGCCTGCTGATAAAGAGGTGAATCACGCATGAACCCTCCTGTCAATCTCCTTTCGGCTGCCGGCTTCGTTAGAGGCTCAGGCCCTTTTTCATCTATCTTTCTGCCGCACACACACTCTAATCCGCTGGCACCTCACCCACGCATCATGATAAAGACTATGGTTCAGCGTTGTTATTCAGAGAGGCTCTAATTTTCTCAAAGCAAAAAAAATCCTTTTTCTCTGCTCTGCATCTGCCTCTTCTCCTGCTTCTTCTTGATCTTCTCTTCTTCTTTTTCCAGACATCTGCTTAAAGCTGAGATTCCCTCCAGCTATTGCTCCAAAATGATAATATATGTTTTATTTACATCTTTATGTATTCACACTGTTTCTGTCCATCTTGGTCCTCCTCATTTTGACATCCATTTTCTTACAGCACTGCAGCTCTGACTCTCGGACGTTGCACAACATTTCAGTTATCTGATGATTGTTGTGTTCACCTTTATGTGCCTATTTTTCCCCGTGAGTCAGCTGTGTGTCATTAATTAACTTACAAAAAAGCCTCGTTAACTGTGTGACATTCTCAAGTTGCATCTGGGGAGCATGCTCAGGCAAGTAGAATGGAAGTGAAGTTTTACAAGGTC